CCTGTCACTCCCCTCCCCTCCGGCTCCTGCCAGTGGGCTCCATGCTGAGCCTTTTGAGGGAGTCAGGGAATGAAGAAAAGGGCCAGTGTACTGTCTGTTGTCTGGTTGAGTTCCTACCTGAAGTGTCACAGCAGGTCCTGGAGTAGCGTTCAGTGCTGACAGGAGGAAGAATCCCGTTCCCGGCAGGTCACTGCCTGTGTGGGGTGTGCGGTTCTCCCAGGCGGCCTGGGTTTCCTCCCGCAGCCCAGAGAGCACGCTGGGAAGTGTGTGTCTGGAGGTCCCATCCGAGTGGGTGTGGGCGAGGCCCCGCCGTGGAGGGGTCCTGCCGGGCCTTTGCTGGCCGGGGCGGCTGCGGCACCCTGGCCCTGAACTGGAATAAGCGGGTTAAAATAATGACCTCACTTGTTTTTATTGGCCTTTCTTAAATATGTGGATCGCTCATGCTTATTTCAGTGTTTAATATTAGAAGTGTTTGGGTTTTTATTTAGAAGTTTGGTGATGTTTTTGTGACCAGAAATATGTTGCAGGATCCAACTCTTGTTTATATCAATTAGCCGAGGGTAAAACTGGTTTCCGTTTTGCTGAAATACAAATTCCTAATAACCGATCGATGGTTTTAGGTGAGCACCTACTATGCGTCACTGTGGGCAGGAGTTTGCCATAAGCTTCCTTTCTGGTGGGGAGGTGAGCTGTATTTTGGCAAGTGAGAGGCTTATTCTGCAAATATTATTTAAGTTCTAATTGGAATATACTTTTTAAAGCTTATGTAGAAGTGGCCTGAATGACCTAATGGTTTATTTATTTATTTTGTTAATCCTCACCAGAGACTCTTTCTTTGATTTTTAGAGCATGGAAGGGAGAGGGAGACAGAGGGGTTTATTACACAGTCTAGATATGGGCCGCTATTGGATATATGTATCAAAAATAGATTTTCTGTGGTTTGCCTTTTCACTCTTTTAATGAACACAGGTTCGTAATTTTAACTTTAATCCAGTTCACTGTATCCATGTCTTCTCTTATAGCTAGTGCTTCCTGTGTCCTGTTTAAGAACTCTTCCTCTGCTCCATGGTCATGAAAATGTTCTCCCATGTTTCCTTCTGGAAGCCTGTGTGCACCTTAGGTCTGTGATCCATTTCAAGTTAATTTTTTATCAGGAGCGAGTAGAGACCAAGGAGGAATTTTGCCCCAACATTAAAACCCAGTTGGCCCAGCACTGCATTGGAAAACGGCAATACACGTTCTGTAGTAGCACCGTCGTAAATTTGGGTCTCTAACACATGGCCAGGTCCTGGATCGTGTCACTGGCGGTCGGTCTGTGCTTGGAGCAGTGCCAGCGATTCCTGCAGCCTTAAGGGAAGTTGGCCGCCTGAGAGTGTGAGCTTCCTCGAGATGCTCCTGGCCGTCATTGTGGGTTCTTTGCATTTCTGTCTGACAGTTAGAACCAGCTTGTTCGTTTACACACACCATCTCCTGAGTTTTATCTTGGAGTCTCTTGAATCTATAGATCAATTTGGGGACAATTGAAATCTCAGTAATATTGAGTCTTGCAGACCATGAAATGTTGTGTCTCTGTGTAGCTTATTTTATCTCAGTAATATTTTGCATTTTCAGTGTATAAATTTTGAAATCTTTCGTTAGATTTATTTCTAAACTAGAGGCTCAGTGCACAAAATTCATGTACAGGCAGGGTCCCTGGTGGCTGCTGGCCGGGGCCTTCCTTCCATCTGCACTGCCCCTAGCGGTAAACTTCCGGTCTCCCGGTCAAACTCCTGAGGGGACACTGTGCATATTAGGCTTTTATATGCATAGAATATACTGATGTTCTTTGATGCTGTCACATGGTGTGGTTTTACTTCAATTTCCGATTGTTTGTTGCTAGCATACAAAATTACAGTTGACTCTTGTGTACTGACCTCGTACCGAGTAACCTTGACGCTTGCTCAGTGATGGTTGAGGTCTGCAGGTGCTCAGGGACTCAGTGCACACACAGTCCCAACCATCTGTACATTTTCTCTCCCCGACTTTATTGCATTTACACTGTGGTATGGTTTTTGTGAGCAGCTGTCACTATCACATTTTGAAATGAGAAAAAGTCCTTTTATGACATCGTGATAAAATAGTGGTTCTTATTTTTGGTTTAATGGCCACATTGGGAAAGTCAGCACCCATATGCTGGTCGCCAGCATTGAAAGCGTTTGGGAGCCTGGGGTTGGTTCGTCGTGCGGTGCTGCTCCTGAGCCTCCATTTGGTCACAGGAAGCCGCCTCAGGCCGGGGAACACTGTGACCCTTTAAGGTCCCTGGTACAGAGGTTTGGCCTGACAGTGGAGCTTTCAGGGGGACACACAGAACTCTGTGTGACACTAGATCAGTGATGGCGAACCTCTGACACGTGAACTCATTTTTTTGGCTGATTTTTCTTTGTTAAATGGCATTTAAATGTATAAAATAAATATCAAAAATGTAAGTCTTTGTTTTACTGTGGTTGCAAAGATCAAAAAACTTCTATATGTGACATGGCACCAGAGTTAAGTTGGCATGTCAGCATGAGCTCAAAAGGTTCGCCATCGCTGCACTGGTTCTTGCTGCCTGTCACGGCCCAGGCTCCCCCCAGCGCAGCCTCCCCCAAGGAGCCACGTCTGGCAGGACCAACAACAACGTAAACCAGAGCTCGGAGTTGCCGCTTGCCGGGTGGACGTGTTGCCCTAATGAGTCCTGACTAAGCGTAACCGTGGGAAACAGCCAAGGTTTCTGCCTTGAAACCTTTGGCAGAAACTCATGGGTTTCAGTTGGTGGTGAGCTGTATTTTGGCTCCGGCGTGTGTGGCACAAAGAGCCTGTGGCATTGTCTCCCAGGGCCTCTTGCTCCTGGGTAGCAGCAAGCCGAGCAGTCATCGGCCTCATTATAAACACAGAGAGGCTTGTGGCCTTGGCGTGCGGACTGTTTCCTGTTCTCTCTCTGGCATCAGAAGTTCAGTCTGGGGCCAAGTGCATCCTAGTGCCTGGAACCGAGGAAAGCAGTGCTGGCTCTTAGGATGGGAAGGCAGCTCAGTGACCGGGTGGTTCTGCTCCTACCCCTTCCCGTGCAGTACACGGAGGCCTCGGGGGGTGGGGAGAGGGAGGACACGGAGCCCTGGCTGTGCCGGCCCTGATCTCTGCCCGTGTAATCTCCCTGCAGTGGCCAGCCAGAGGCGACACTCCTCCGTGGCCCGGATCCACTCCATGACCATCGAGGCGCCCATCACCAAGGTGAGGAGTCTGTGGCCCGTCTCCACTGAGCAGACCACCCTTGTCCTCCCAGCAGATTGCTTCCCATGAGAACCAGGGGCCCGCACAGTAACAGCGCCCTCCTGGCCATGGAGCCCTCCCTCTGGAGAGAGGACGTGTGGCGGGAACAGCTGGCTGGTCTTGGGTTGGCCCTGAGCACCAGGCAGCCTGACTCAGGGTTGCTTTCCTGTTGCTTTGAAGGCTCTGACCCTCGTGTCTCTTCTTCCCATATTGCAGGTGATCAATATCATCAATGCTGCCCAGGAGAACAGTTCCATGCCTGTGTCGGAAGCCTTAGACCGCGTCCTGGAAATTCTGAGAACCTCGGAGCTGTATTCACCACCGTTCGGGGCTAAGGAAGAGGATCCTCACACCAAGGACCTCATTGGGGGCCTGATGTCCGTAAGTGCACTGGCCGGGCTGCGGCGGAGCTGCTGGTCCTGTTTGCCCCGTTATCTGTTCGTGGGCTGCTGCACAGGGCTCGCTGCACGCCTAGGCCACAGCCTCGCCCACCTGCCGCCTCACCCAGGGCTCAGCGTGGAGCAGAGGAGGGCAGACAGTCTGCTGAGCCAGGGCCCCATTTTTGCTTAGTGGTCCTACGAGCAATTTATTTAAATAAATCTTAATTGTTTTAAAGACTTTGAAAACAGGGGCAGAAAAAAAGAAAAATAAATGCTCGATGCTGCAGAAACAGGACAGGGCCCAGGTTCCCTCCAGACCCCCTGCCCAGGTCTGCGGCTTCACGGGGAGAAGGCCTTGTGCCGTGGGCTCGTGAGGCCCGTCTCGGATAGAGGTCTCCACGGGAAGAACTGTGTGGAAGACAGATCAGCCCGTCACTACCGTCACCTGTGTGTTGGTCAGAAATAAAACTTCCCTTCCCTCCCAGGTCCTGCTTTCTGAGGTCATCTGACATCTTAAACATTGGGCTTTAGCAGGTTCCGGTAGCCGCCTACAGCCCAATGTTATGACATCAGGACTGCAGAGAGACAGCGAGGTTCCGTAATGGGAATGTGTGTTGAGACTCATGTCTAACATGGGTCTGGCCTATAGACAGAGGCCCCCCAGCCTGTGGGGAGGCGGACAGTGACACAGGAGGAGGAGGGAGAGAGGCCTGCAGGAAAGAGGGGGGCTGCTATAGGGGCTGGGAGCAGCTCTCACCCAGGCTCTGCTGGGCGGAGTCGGAGTGCTTAGAGGGCCAGGGAGACTCTAGCTTTTTCTAGAGGACACGGAAGCCTGGTGTCCATTAGGGTGAGGAGGGTGGGGTGGGAAAAAGATGGGGAAGAGGGGCGTTGTCCCTAAGAAACCAAACAGTCTGAGTGCCAGCAGGAACGCCGGGCCTTGGGGCCTCCCTCTCAAGCTGCCCCCTCCCTCCCCCAGTCCTAGTGCCAGGCGATGGAAGGGAGGGCCCCTGGGGGGGTGTGAGGGAGAATCTGCCCTACTGCCCTCTGGGAGTGTCAAGTAAAGAACAGCAGTGACTTCTCTCTCTCGTTTCCTTGATTTTTATCAGGACGGTTTTCGAAGACTATCTGGTAATGAGTATACTCTCTCAACAAAAAGTACGTTTTCCTTTGTAATTTTTTTGATCATTAACATTACAGTCAAGTTTAAATGATAAAAATTAGTTTTCCCGATGGTTTGTCCTAAAAGCCCCGAAACAAAGCCCTGAGCCAGCACTGTGCCCTCAGGAGTGGTTCACGGGCAGAGCCTGCTGACACTGTCTCCCAATCACCCCTCCCCAGACCTGCATCAAATTTCGGGCAGCTTACTCGCCTCCGAGTCCCTTCACAATATCCCACCGCGGATAGCGGAGGCCATGGAAAACGATGACGACTGGGACTTTAATGTCTTTGAGCTGGAGACTGCCACTCAGAAGAGGTGAGCCCACCTGGCGCTCAGCGAACAGCTCGATGCCGAGGGCCGGAGCGGAGAAGCCCCCGAGGAGTGGGTTTTGCACAGAGCTGGTCCCTGGTCCCGGGCGGTGGGGGTCCGTGGGGAGCCAGGGAGGAGTGCCTGGTCACGACCCCGAGGAGACAGACTCTGGGAAGCGTGAAATGGAACAAGTGCTGACTTCTCCAAATGGCAGGGTTTTCCTGTAAAATAC